ACAAAAAAAAAAAAAAAAAAAAAAAAATACATATCTTTGACCTAGCAGGTCTGCTTTTAAATATTTAATTTATAGAAATACTGGCATATGTATGGAAGGTTTATGTACATGCATGTTTATTGCAGCATTGTTTATATGGTGAAAAATTGAAACCAACCCACATGTTTTTTCAGCAAAAGAATGAATAAAATTGAGCATATCCATACTGTGGAACACTGAGGAGTACTGTTAAGTGTCTAGGCTCTGGAGTCAGATTACCCAGCTTCAAATTCTGGTTCCGTCATTTACTAGCTATGTGACCGAGGCTTGCTTAACTTCTCTGTGAAATGGACTGGATCGAATCTACCTCAGAGTGTTGGAATAATTGAAGTATATAAAATAGTGCTTAGAATATAAGTACTCAATAAATAATAGCTACTATTAAATTATTACTTTGTAATAAGTCTAGCATGAAAAAAGAGCCTGTAACTTAACAAATTTTAGAGCAGTATATACATATGGCATGATTTTCAGTTTCTAAATAAACATTGAAAATTATATATGTGGCAGCCAGCAGGTGGCATGGTGGTTCTGGTGCTGTGTTGCATATGGCCGGCTGTGTTTTTTTTTTTTTTTGCTATAGGGCACATGCGCTCGCCAGACAGAGAGAGACAGAGATAGAAAGCTAGAAATCACCCCCCCCCGGGGGCGGGCAGCCACAATCCCTTCTCCTCCATTCTCCTCTCGGGATCTTGGGCACGTGTTGTGTGTTTAAGCTACCGGGTCCTGGACTTGAACCACGGTTGACTACGTGGCAGTCCAGCCACATAGCCATTACGCTAACTGCTGGTCCCAGCAGTGGTTTGAATCCTAGACCTAGTGACTTGCTTTCTCACCCCACCCCCACCCCCGTGTGTGTGCCCTGTAGCAAATTGGAAAGTGATAATAAATAAAATGATATATGTATTTGAATGGATGTGGATAAAATTAGAAAGATAAATGCCAATCTTAACAATATTTACCTCTTGGTAATGACATTGGAGGAGGAGCAGATTGTCATTTAAAAATTTTTTATTTTATTATTTGACTTTTCAAGCAAATCCTGTATTTGTAATTGAAAATAAAAGATTCCACAGACTATAAAGATAGTACAACTTTTGAGTCACCCTTATTTTAGTTTTTTTTTTTTTTAAACCACGAAAAGGTCGTTTTCTTTAAATGATGTGTGCTTCCTCTTATTTTCCTTAGTGACTTAGTAAGGTTTTCTTTGCAGGAACATGCTTATCCAGCGGATGAACTCATGCCTTTAACCTGTCGAGGTCGTGTTAGAGGTCAGGAACCAAGTCGGGGCGACGTTGATGATGCCTTGGGAAAGTGAGTATGGAGAACATGGGACATGGCATGAGTACACAGATCAGGATTTCTAAGGGGCGGTTTACCGTGACTTTTCTGGGGTTGGCTGAGTTTTAAATAATGCTTTAAGTATTACCTTAAGCTTCTTTATTCCTTTCTATTATCTTTTGTAAAAAATAATAATAATAATTTAACACTTAGATTAGGTTAAAAGTTAATTGTTAAGCTAGGTAGAACTTTTGAAATGTATGTAACATTTTTGTAACTTTAGAAATGTTATTTTCAAATATAACTTGAACAATTTTTGTAAGTCATTAAAACATTTAAGGATGGTGATGCTATAATGTATTTCTTTAAAAAGCTAGTGAATGTTTCTGTTCTTAAAAGCTGTGTAGGTACTGTTCCTTGAACATAAATGAAATGTTAAGACTTTTTATTTTCTTCTGTACCTTGTAGATTATATTGTATCATAGCTACTTGGAAGCACTAGTTAGAAACCACCAGTGAATAGGATATAGAGAAATCTATTTATATATTCATAGATAAATATTTAGAATTCTAATGTTTTAATTATACTTGTTTCTTAGATTTTCCCTGACACTGATTGATTCTTTGGATACTCTTGTGGTAGGTTTGATTCTTCTTGGGTTTATTTATTTTATACATTTCATCATATGCAAACTCTAGTATTAGAACTATAATAACACAGCAATATGAAATAGAAAACTTCAGAACTTAAGATTCTGATCTTTGTTTCTAAATTGATCTGTGACCCTGTTGAGTTGATGCTATCAAGTGAATGTCAAGTGGCATTGTGTAGAATAACAGAGGTACCTGAACTGTTTTTGGGGATGTGAACATAGGCTGTGTGTGACACCTTAATCAGGAAGGTGTTTTTCCTTTGGATAAGGAGGTTGAGTCTATTGGAACAAATTAATTTTAGAGAATACCATTGAAATTTTTGTTCCATAACGACATGCCACAATGGTACAAAAATCATTAAATTAGAATCTTTAAATACTTATAAACAAGAATGTACTTTTCCCAGCAGTGATTTGTAGTACCAAGTACCACTTAGCTCTTTCTTGCAATCTCCTGTGATGCAGAAATCATTTTAATGAGTTTTGATTCAGGACTGTATGAGATAGCAGTGGGGAAGAGTGAGCTCCAGACTCAAAGGAACTTCAAAAAGTCTACGGAAAAAATGGAATTAAAGTATGAGTTTATTTTGGTGCAAAACATTTTGAAACTCATGCGTAGTTTTTTCACAATATGAATTTTTCATAAACTTTCTGAATACTCTTACACACCACTTTCTAGGTTGTTACTCTTTCAATTTTTATGGTGTAAAAGTTGACTTGTTTGAAGATGTCCCTTAATGCATAATTATCAACTTTGAGTTAATATCTTAATTGTTGATTAGTATTTAAAAAATAAAGCCAGACAATCTTTGGGGTGGTAGAAATTTTTTGGAAGCAGACTTTTTTTTTTTTTTGGAGAGATTTTCACTGTAGGGCACGTGCGCTCGCCAGACAGACAGAGAGAGACATAGAAAGTGAGAAATCACCCCCCAGAGGGGATGGTCACGCCGCAATCCCTTCTCCTCCATTCTCCTCTCGGGATCTTGGGCACGCACGCACACGCGCCTGGCGTGAGTTTTAAGCCACCGGGTCCGGTACACGAACTGCGGTCGACTACGTGGGAGTCCAGCAACATAGCCATTACGCTAACTGCTGGTTCCCGGAAGCAGACTTTTTGTACCCTGTGTTTTTTCTGCATTCTTTCACTGAGGCTTTTTTTTTTTAAAAAACAAAACAAAACAAAAAAAAAAACACAGATTTTCAAATCTGGCAGCCATTTAGGAGGCTCACCTGTGAAGCTTAAAATAAAGAAGATCTCATCCCTGGTTATTTTGGTTTAATGGTTGTGGAGTGGAGCTGGGCATTATTATTTAACTAAAACTTCTTTTTAGTTCTAAAACGCAGTCATGGTTTCATATTTTACTCAGGACTTACCTAAATTTTGCATTTACTTGAATTTTAGGTGAATACTCTTACGGGCCATTTTATTTGCTAAGTTAGAATTTTCAGTAAAAATATCAAATCAAGTTTAAAAAACTACAAAATCTTATCAGACTGAAAGATTAAATGGTCAAGTAAAGGATAACTATGAATTCATGTAGGCTTTAAATCACAGGGCCTTAACTTAGAGTGAAAGATTAAAGCTGCCTGTTTAATGACAGTGCCTTCTTCATGGGGCTCATTGCAGGAACTAGAGCTCTTAGTTAAGTAGCATACAGACCAGTATGGTAGCAATAATAATGATACTGAGCACTTACTGACAGTACTGAAAGCACATTGCGTATATTGCCTCATTTGAGAAAACAACCCTAGAGGAGTAGATACTTCCTTTTTTTTTTGTAGATAAAGAAACAGGCTCAAAGAGGAAGTAACTTGGCCAGGCTCATGGTAGTGAGTAACAACCAGATTTCAAAGTAGGGCTTGTTGTTGGCCACAACATTGTCCTGCCTCTTCTGTGAGTATAGATGAACATCCATGGGTGAAGGTGGCAGGTGGTCTTTGGTTTAGGATCAGTGATGCCCCAGAGAAAATGTTTCCTTCTGAGAGTAAGCTATGTTTCAAATGGTGTTCGGTGGATAGGATGGGTTATTATTTTTTCATTTTTGTCTGTCTTGAGTTGGAAACCCAAATCCTAGTAGAGCTCATCTCGCGTAGCTCTAGATCGTGGGTTATTACATTAGGAAACCAGTGGCAGTTCTGGAGATTATTATTGTTTACAGTAATAAGTCCTGATGATTTTCAGTGTGTCCAAAAAGAAGTATATGAAGATGCTATAATATAATTAGACCCTTAGTTTTTTAGGTTTGGACACTATTACATTTTTTTTTTTTTGGAGAGATTTTTCACTGTAGGGCGCGTGCGCTCGCCAGACAGACAGAGAGAGACATAGAGACAGAAAGCGAGAAATCACTCCCCAGGGGGGATGGTCACGCTGCAATCCCTTCTCCTCCATTCTCCTCTCGGGATCTTGGGCACGCACGCACACGCGCCCGGCGTGAGTTTTAAGCCACCGGGTCCGGGACACGAACCGCGGTCGACTACGTGGGAGTCCAGCGACATAGCCATTACGCAACTGCTGGTTCCCGACACTATTACATTTTTATAACATACTTAAAAGACATATTTAACTAGTCTGTATATGTTACTTCTTAGAATCTAAAAGTACTAATTTGCTTTTAGTAGCTCATTCTGAGTTTTTTTTTCCTTGTCTGGGTACAGAAGAACTGTATTTTGTCATTTTTTTTTCTCGTAGGTATTAAATAAAACTAAAGAATTTGAAGATGCAGTAAGAAAAGTTTTAAGAGACGTTAATTTAGATAATGATGTAGTTGTATCAGTCTTCGAAACAAACATCAGAGTTCTTGGGTAAGTTATGTAAAACAATTCTAAAATTTTAGTAACAGAAAAGTTTAGTGATTTCTGTTTATTTCTTGATGATAATAAAGCAAGAAGTTTTTTTTTTTTATGTTTAAAAAATAAAAGGTAAGGGACTGGCCTTATGGATTTATGGTTAAGGTGGGGCCAGATCTCACATGGCCATGGTTTGGTTCTCAGCCCTGGTGGCCTGAAAAACATGCCAGACAACGCGTGCATGTGTGCCCAAAGTTCTGACAAAATGCTCAAGGGGAGGAGAAGAGATTGCAGGGTGAATTTGTCCCATTGGAGAATCTTCCTTGCCCCACCCCAGACTCTTTCTTTGAGCAGCTCATGTGCCTTCTGGCAATTAAAAATAAAGAGAGATGAAAGTTAGGGTTTGAAACACAGAGGCTGTGGGATAACCGTGCATTATATTAGTCACAGGCAGTAACAGGCTTTGCCACAGCAGTTGTAGACACAAATCAAAAGTGTTGTTTAAAGAGATCATAGGTGGAACATTTATCATATTAGTTACATCATAGGTTTTTTTGTTTGTTTTTGTTTTTGTTTTTTTTTTACCAGCTTAGGTAATTTGCTAACCTTAGCCAAGCACCTCCTCAGAAAAACCAGTGAAACTCAATTTATAGGATTGTCTCTCAACTAAACATTTAATTTGAAATGTTCTTGAGAGATTTAAAATATGGAATTACAGAATTTATTAATTCAAGTTTCAACATTAAAGTTTTTAAGTTAATTACTACTTTTGTGTTATTGTAACTTTTTAGTTTTGGTCAGATGAGTCAGTTCTTCACTTAAATACGAGAAATAGTTACATAGCTTTTCAAAGAGTTTATTACTCTGTTATATTTAATAGAGTGAAAGCTGGTGCAGAATGAGCTTCACTAATCAGAACGTTCAAAATCTAAAATGCTCAAAATCTGAACGTTTTTGAGTGCCAACATGATGCCACAAGTAGAAAAATTCTGTACCTGACCTCATGTGATGGGTCCCAGTCAGAATGCTGTAATAAAAATACACTGTTTAAAATTACCTCCAGGTAGGACCAGCAGATGGTTATGGGACCAGGACCAGCGTAGTGGTTACGTCGCAGGGCTCCCATGTATTGACTACAGTTCAGACCCGGCGGCTTAAAACTCTCACTGGATGTGTGTGCACTCGTGCCCAGTATCCTAAGAGGAGAATGGAGGCGAAGGGATTGTGGCATGGCCATCCCCCCCAGGGGGGTGATTTTTGCCTTTCTGTCTTTCTGGCAAGCGCACGTGTCCTATACCAAAAATCTCTCTGAAAAAAATAGTAAAATTACCTCCAGGTTTTTAATGTAAGATGTATGTGAGACAAATTAACTTCATGTTTAGATTCAAGTCCTAACTGCAAGATCTCATTATGTATGTGTAAACCCCAAACCCAAAGATGCCTGAAACACTTCTGGTCCCAAGCATTTTGGGTAAAGGATCTTATCTGTTCCAGGAGAATTAAAGGTTTCATTATGATATAATTACATTTTTTAATTAAAAATATTTTTAAAATAATTATTTTATTTAACTTTATTTATTTATTTTAATTTGACTAGAGAGGGACAGAGTCATAGGGAAAGTGAGAAAGCAAGCTGCTAGGTCCGGGACTCGAACCACACTGTGGAAGTCCAGCACTGTTAACTACCAAGCCACTTGCCCTTAACCACCAAACCACCTACCAGCCCCTAAATTTAAAATTGAAAGAAAAATGTGATATCTAGTTTTTTGTTTTGTTCTGTTTTAAAGATTTTTGCCATAGGGTTCATGTACTTGCTAGAGAAAGACAGTGAGAAGGAAAGAGAAATAACCCCTTCTAGTTATGCCACAATCCCTTCTCCTCCATTCTCCTCTTGGGATTTTGGGCACACACACACACACACACACACGTACCCAGTATGATTTTCAAGGTTCCAGGTCTAGGACTCACACCACAGTTGGTCACGTGGGAATCCAGCGCCTTAATCGCTATGCTACCTGCTGGCCCCCTAGGTAGTAGGTTGTCGGGAAAGTCATGATGTATTTTTCTATGTTTTTCTGTGCAAAAATGCATCATGACTTTCCTGACAAACCAATATTTGTTCTGAGAAAGTAAAATGTGCTGAGGAATGTCAAGCACTTTGCAGCAAGATAGAACATCTGATTTTTAAAAACATATATTAACTACGCAATTACTTATTTATTTATATTTAATTTGACCAGAGAGGGACAGAGAGAGAGAGAAAGCGAAAAAGCAAGCCGCCAGGTCCGGGTCTCAAATCGCGGTTGGCCATGTGGGAGTCCAGCACCCGTAACCACCATGCCACCTGCCGGCCCCTTAACTATGTAATTATGATGGTTTACCAGAAAATGAGTAGCCAGCATTAGGTAAAGAATAAAGTTCTGTATTTTTTCCTTACGTATGTTAAACTGTTGTTAACAAAATGGCCACACCTTTTTAGGTGGGAACTCAGTAGCTGTGAGATGTAGCTGTTCCTTTTCTGTGATCACAGGGGTCTTTTAGGTGGACACTCACTGGCAATCATGCTGAGAGAAAAAGGCGAATACATGCAGTGGTACAATGATGAACTTCTCCACATGGCGAAGCAGTTGGGCTACAAACTGTTACCGGCTTTCAATACTACCAGTGGCCTTCCTTATCCAAGAGTAAGTAATTCTGAAAAATATGATCATCTCTATATACTTGCTTTATTGTTTTACAAAATGAATTTTCATGGTTAGGACCAAAGTTCTTACCTACTTTAGACTGGGAAAAAGAAATGCTACAAAGCTATAGAAGAAATTAATGTGGACATTTCAGTTACCTTACATTTGAGGGATGTGAGAATTGGATTCGTTTAGCTTTTGTGTGTCACTGTGTAACAGATTCGATTGTGCTGCCGGAGGAAGAAACAGATGTGAGGCTAGACTTTGAGCATAGAATGATTTGTGCCTGAGACGTTATTGAAGCAGTGGGAGTCGGTAGGTGTAAACTCTCCAAAGGAGAGATTGCAGAGAGAACAGGACAGAGTGGGCCTAGAGAGGAGGAAAGCCAGCGAGAAGTCAGTGTGTAGGGACTTAGGAGGAGGACCACAATGTGGCTGGTGTATAGTAGTATAAAGTTCACAAAAGGGAGCTTCAAAAGGTGGAGACATTCTAGAATACTTGAGAGTTGGGTGCCAGCAGAGTCTTGAAAGATATAGTGTGGTAGAATATAGGGGGAAGGATTCCAGGTAGGGAAGACCAGCCATTTTGAGTTTCCTTCTCTGTTGGTGGTTAAAGGAGAGTCAGCAGGAGTGGAGGGAGTTATTATTTTTCTCTCAGGGATTTAAACAGAGGGAAAGAAGCCACTGGAGATGTAAGGAACTTTCTCCTGATAGATTTAATTCTTTATTACATGATTACGTTCTCTTACCCAACTAAGCTCTGTCCGTTTTTTCTTTGCTATGTTAATGGGGGCCAAAATAATTTCATTCCTAAACTACTGGTAATGCCTATTGTTCTTTCTTCAGATCACTTGAAAAATAATTACTACGAAAAGTTAATTTTCACCAAATTAGTTTCAAGGGTTTTGCTGACCTTCCTATTGTACCGAGTGTCCTTTGACTCTTAGAATTCTGTACAGTAACTCTGATGTTCTCCCATACGTCAGTGAGATCATTGTCCCATGTCAGTCAAAGCAATCTGTCGTATCTCCCCAAACCCCTAGGACTTTTTCCATTTTTTTCTTTACTCCACACCTATAGACCTACCATCTCTATGACCTGGCATAACTTCTCTACAGTATTAATCAAATAGGCACGTTTCCCCTCAGAATTCATCTCAGAGAGGCAATGTTAAAGGATAGTGCTTTCACACTGGAGGTCACAACCCATTCATTTACTCATCAGTGTAATGAGTCCTGGCCAGCACTTTGAGAAAATGAAACAGACCAGAATTAAGTCTGTTTTTTAATGTTGTAGTTTTGAAAGTTTACAAGTTCTCCTGTGAACATTTTATACACATCTTTTACACATTTCCCACTTCTTCCTTAGGATGGATTACTAGAAGAGGAAGTAGTAAGTCGTAGAGAAGGGAATGCTTTTTAAGACTGGGTACCTATTGCCCAGTTGTGCTCCGAAAAAATGGCTTTCGTACTTCCTCAGTGTTGTATAAAAGTACGTGTGTCGTCGTACTGTTGCCAATACTTTATTATCATTCTTTGGCTAATTTAATGAGGAAAAGAATGGAATCATATATTTTAATGTGAATGTCTTCGCTCTTAGTGTAGTTAAGTTTATCGATTATTTTTTCTTAGCATATCAAAATTAAAAGCAAAATTACTTTAGGCAACTTATTGATAATCTCTTTAGTAAGATTAACATTTAGTAATTATTTTCAGTTTCTGTCATAAACAGGTGCTGGGTTTTAAGGACTCTAGGATTTCTTCATTTTTGTATATCATAAGAAGCAGGCAAGGAATTAAAACAAAATATTCTATGAGAATTATAATAGGGCAGGGAAACATATTTTCAAATCCTTGGCAAGATTTTAAAAATCATTATTTTTTGTGTTTATAAAAATTCACTTATTTGATTTTATTTTAAATTATTTTTTAATTTGCTATAGAGAATGTGTGTTCACCAGAGAGAGACAGTGGGATAGAGAGGGAATGTGAGAAAGTAAGCCACCAGGTCTGAGACTCAAACTGCTGCCAGCCATATGGGAGTCAAGCACCTTAACCACCACACCATCTGCTAGCCCCAATTTTTAAATTTTTTAATTAATTAACTTATTTTTAGAGAGATTTTTGCTGCAGGGTGCACGTACTCACCAGAAAGAGAGAAACAGAGACAGAAAGTGAGAAATCACCCCCGGGGCCAGGGGATGGCCATGCCGCAATCCCTTCTCCATTCTCTCAAGATTTTGGGCTTGCACACACACCCATGTCTGGCATGAGTTTTAAGCTGCTGCATCTGGGACTCAAGCTACGTTCGACTTGGTGGGAGTCCAGCAACATAACTGTTATGCCATCTGCTGGTCCCTAAAGTCATTTTTAGAAGAGGACTATAGAAGAAGATAACTGGCTTTCCATCCGTCCTTATATATACTTAGTAAATATTACTTTTGCCCATGAAAATTATGTACGCATATCAAAGAGTGCAGTTAGTCACTCATGATAATATTTGCATTAATGGTTTTAACTCAAAAGAATTTGCTGGATAAAAAATGTTGTAAGAGTTAATGGCCATCTTTTTTTAAAAAAGAATTATTTATTTAATTTTATTTATTATTATTTGATTTGTTGTAGGGTACATGTGCTCACCAAAGAGAGAGAGAGAGAGAGAGAGAGAGAGAGGGAAAGTAAGAAAGCAAGCCTCCAGGTCCAGAAATCGAACCATGGTCAACCATATGGGAATTTAGCACCTTAACCACCATTCTACCTACTGCCCACCACAACCCTCCCTTTTTTTGGGGGGGGGAGCAGAGGTTTTTGCTATAGGGCATGTGTGCTCGCCAGAGAGACAGAGACAGACAGAAAGCGAGAAATCACCCCATGGGGGGATGGCCATGCCACAATCCCTTCTCCTCTCGGGATCTTGGGCACGCACGCACATGCGCCCAGCGTGAATTTAAGCCACCGGGTCCGGGACTCAAAACTGCGGTCGACTACGTGGGATTCCAGCGAAATAGCCATTACGCCATTTGCTGGTCCCCCTCCCCTTTTTTTTTTTTAAAAAGGTTTTTGCTATAGGGTGTGTGTGGTTGCCAGAGAGGAGAGAGACAGTGAGAGGGGAAGAGAACCCCCCCCCAGGGGGTATGGTCACACTGCGATCCCTTCTTCTCCATCCTCCTCCTGGGATTTTAGGCATGCATGTTCATTGCCTAGCATGATTTTCGAGCCACCTGATCCGAGACTTGAACTGTGCTATTGGCTGTGTAGGATCCAGCCACCCAAATTGCCATGCTGCCAACTGACCCTAAGTTAATTATTTTTAGGATCAGTTTTCAATTTTAGTTCTATAAATAAAGATACAGGAAACATAAAGGGGCATGAGATAGTGTCCATTCTTATTCATGGTACTCAGCTACCTGAAAATGGTTGTTCTTCCAGGAAGACAACTGTGGGAGATAGTTATAAATTTGGGTGAGGATTAGCAAGCTAATAGCATGTGGAAATGCCTCAAGTGACATTTTAGGGAGTGAGATAAATGGCAGTGCTAAAGATGACATATGATCAGTTTCTCATGTCTCACCTCATTTCACTTTGTTGCTTGTTGAGTGGACATTTGTTTAGAAGTGCCTAAAATCTGTTGATCAGACACTTTTAAGGTAACAGGCATACCCAGTAATTAACTGATTGTTGTGGCTAAGTTGATCTCACTAAATAGTTGGTAAGATCTCACTATACTGCCCACGCCAACTGTGAGCTCAGAATCCCCGCCTCAGCCTCTAGATAGCTGGGACCACAGGCACGCACCATTGTGCCAGCTTTTCAGGGCGGGCCAGTCATTGAACCCGGGACTCTCATGTGTCCTCAGTCAGACTGCCAAGTGTCAGAAACTGGAATCAGCTCTGTGGCTAGGCATTGAACTTCTCTTTGTGAGAGTGTGAATAATAAACGAGCTGAGGACATGGCCATGATGTTTCCTGTTCGGGTTTTTGATACATGCGTTACACTAGATTCTTGGCACATGCCTCCTTTTTTGTTTTTAATTTGAATGGCTCAAACACGTTCCCATTTTCATCAAGTCTCTGTTCAGTTTGGTTCTAGTTAATCCAGGTTTATATTACAGTGTTATTTGGTGGCTTTTAAATTACAGAAGAAGTACCCCTTTGAAAAAAATTTCCTTGTGGTGTTAGCTGCCGGCAAGACAATATATTCTGTATGTCAAAACTTTTAAAGCCTATAAACAAAAGTAATTTTTCAAATTCATGCCATAGTGATAATTTTTTTCTTTATAAAGAACTATTCAGTATAGTACTCTTTTTCACAAATTCTCGATTAAACCTAATTTCTTTTAAAGCTGGTCCATTTCTCTGTTCTTGTGCTAGCTAGTTCAAACTGTCCAGGGAACAAAATTGCTATAGGAGGTATTTTCCCTATATAATTGTTATGATAACATTGAATTTAGATATCATTGAGGAAGGAACTCAATGAAAACTAACTTACCCCATGAGTTTTATGTGCTTAGAATGTATTTCCATGGATGTTAATTAGAAGGTCACAAAGGTATCAGGTTGAATTTCGTTGGTTAGTTAATTTATGAGTTACTTTTATGATTTGATAACATGCCTTGGTTGAAAAATATTTTCTGATCAGGAAGTTACTATCTCTTGATAATTGCTAATGCTAATCTTCCGACTGTCCTTAGATTAATTTAAAGTTTGGCATCAGGAAACCAGAAGCACGGACGGGAACTGAGACCGATACCTGTACAGCCTGTGCAGGTACCTTGATCCTTGAGTTTGCTGCTTTAAGTCGATTCACAGGAGCCACAATATTTGAGGTTTGCTTTTCCTGGTCTTTGATCTCCTGGGTATTGGGCACATCTAACTTTGTATCTGTTCTTCATTGGTTAAATGTGAGGACCAGCATTTGGAGGGTTACTGTTACTTAAGTGAGGTTTTTGTCTAAACTCCATTACATAGTTTTTCATTGTCAAAACCTAGAAGCCATTGTGAAGTAACATTGTATGTAAATACATCTTTGTATTTTATTCATAAACTATGAAGTAATTTTTTGGCTGATCTTAGGAGATTCATAACTTATATTGGGTCATCAGAAAAGTCGTGATACATTTTTGCATAGAAAAATAAGTCATGGCTTTTCTAACAACCCAATATTAATTTGTTGGCTTCTTTTTTATTAATTTTAAATTCTAAAAATTTGTACTCACTACAGAGCAAGAGAGAGAAAGTGAGAAAGTACCCTACCATGGTGGATGGCCATGATGCAATCCCGTCTTCCACATTTCTCCTTTTGAGATTTTAGGCATGCATGCACATGTGCCTGGCGTGTTTCTCAAGCCTCACAATCCGGGACACAGACCATATAATCGTCCGTAGAGGGTCCAGCTATCCTAACCATGCTGCTGGCTGGCCCATACAGTGAAATACTGTATCTCTGTGTTGTAATGGACTTCTAGGTGGTCTATTGCATTTCTAAATTTTTCAGTAATCTAGAACATAGTGAAATTTTTTCAATTAATGTTTTTTGTTTGCAATTAAGTTTTGATTGAGAGTTTAATCTAGGGACCAGCAGTTAGCGTAATGGCTATGTTGCTGGACTCCCACATAGTCGACTGCGTTTCGAGTCCTGGACCTGGTGGCTCAAACTCACGCCGGGCGCGTGTGCGTGTGTGCCCAAGATCCCAAGAGGAGAAGGGAGGAGAAGGGATTGCGGTGTGGCCATCCCGCCTGGGGGGTGATTTCTTGCTTTCTGTCTTTCTATCTCTCCCTGTCTGTCTGGTGAGCGCATGCACCCTATAGCAAAAACCTCTCCAAAAGAGAGAGAGAGTTTAATCTGTAAATTTGTTTACTATAAGGGACGTGATTCTGAATTCATGATCCAAAAGATTTACTATCTCTCACATAGATTGTTGTGACTAGCTGTGTCTCATATCTAAATAAAAAAAAAAAAAAAAAAAAAAACCTAATTGTTTAAGCATTAAATAGTAACACAAAGTATTCTCTCTCTCTCTTTCTTCTTAATTGTCGGGGTCATTTGTGCTCACCAGAGAGATAGCGAGAGGGATGGGAAAAAGCACATAGTCATGCAACAGTCCCTTCTTCATTTCTCTCTCTGTTGGGGTTTGGGGCATACACATACACATGCCCAGTGTGTCTTCAAAGCCACCAGAGGTGGGGACTTGAACAGCAGTTGGACATGTAGTATCTATCTCCCTTAATCAGTAGGCCTCAGGGTTAGTCCATCACACTCTCTTTTCCAAACATATGATTTATGTGAATTTAAAAAAATTCAAATGATATAAACAGAATAAGCAGAAATAGAGAATGCATGCCTGCATCGTAGACATTGAGTGTAAATGAGACAAATCAAAGGGGCTTCGTGTATATATAGGCCTCTGTGTGTGTGTGTGTGTGTGTGTGTGTGTGTGTGTGTGTGTGTGTGTATGCTCAAAATCTTGACAGATTTATCACGTTCAAGTGGTTAATTTTTTAAATAAATTCTTGTTGATTATTATTTTCCCTTCATTAAAAGGATACTTTGATATACTTCCTAATTTTTTAAAAAGAATTATTTACTTAATTTTATTTATTATTATTAATAAACTTGCTGTAGGGTACATATGCTCACAAAAGAGAGAGAGAGAGAGAGAGAGAGCAAGAAAGCAAGCCTCGAGGTCCAGTACTCTAACCACAGTCCACTATGTGCACCTTAACTACCGTCCTACCTGCTAGCCCTATATGTCCTAATTTAATATGAACTGTAAACTCTGAGTTATTGACATTTACAGATGAAGAAAATGAGGCTTAAAGAAGATAAGAGACCTCCATAGCTAGTGGGGGAAGGAGTGGAATTGGAATAAGAATCCATGAATTTCTGAATTCAAAGCCCATGTTCTTTCCATAAACTATTTTATGTTTATGAGTTAAATCTGTTGAAAATTACATTTTTTTCCTTCTTGAGTGCATAGTAATTTATTATCAGAGAAGCAACCCAGTGCAGTTGACAGAGAGCACCAATCTAATAGAAGATGGTCTGTGGGTCAAATCCAGCCACTGTCTATTTTTGTAAATAAAGTTTTCTTGAAACATAGCTATGTTCACTCATATTTGTCTATGGCTGTTTGTGGGCAACACTGACAGTAATTGTGACAGTGACTATGTAACCCATAATGTCTGAAATATTTGCTCTGTGGTCCTTGTTAGAAAAAGAATTTCCTATTGATCTAATATATAAAGAAATCTGAATTCTCATATTAGTTGTCCTATAATTCTGTTTTTTAAAATATTCATTTATTTTTAATTTTGGTTTTTGCCATATGGTGTGTGCCCTTGCTGGAGAGAGACAAAAAAAGAAAGAGGGAAAATGAGAAACCACTCCCTGGATGGGGATAGCCACACTGCAATCCCTTCTTCTATGGATTTGGGGCACACGTGCACGCACATGCACCCGATGTGATTTCCAGGCCCCTGGGTCTGGACTCTGACCATGGTTGGACCACTGCGCCACTTGCTGGCACTCTCTGTCTTAATTTTAAACTTCAGTTCAATCTTTCATTTCGCTAGGCCTATTTCTTTAGCTATAAAATAAGAGAAGGGAAATATAATCTGTACAGAGCTTTCTGGCTGTGAAATTTACATATAATTACAGTTGCAATCTGCTTTATTTTTTAAAAATCAGCATAAATAGGTTGACTCATGAATTTAAACTGTTTTATACTCTTACATTTGTGAAGTGACTAATTGGTTTAATGATCTCTTCCTTTTATGGAAGTACTTGTGCAGGGCTACACAGGTTCACACTCTGAAGTTCATATAGAAACTCACCTGTGATGCCCTTAACTTTTACGTTTTAGCGTCTTTACTTTTTTTTTTTTTAGTTCTTTTTTATTGCTGAAGAATATTCCATTATATGAGTAGACCGTGGTACATTCACTGCTCCTCTTCCATTGGCTGCAGTGCCAGTCCCAGGGTCAGACCCAGCTGTGAGAGAAGCTGGGAAATACAGTCAATCTGCCCAGAGAAAAGGAGCATAATATAATAAATAGGTAGTAATATACCCTGGCTTATCCTCCCTGTCTCCAGTTGTCCCACCACCATCTATAAACACACAAATGCCACATATGAGTGATGTTCGAGTTTATTTTGTTGCTAAACACAGAAAAAAAAATGGAAATTGGGTGATTTCTAGAAATAGAAGCTTATCAGTTCATGGTTTGGATGTCTGAGTTCCAAGGGCCACATGTGGTTGGTTCTCCCATCAGTGGGATCCCGAGGCCCTGTAGGGTGAGAGTAGCGTACAGTAGTGGTGTCTGTTAGTCTCTGTGTTCCAGTTTCATTCTCTCTCCTTCCCAGCCCACCAAAACTCAATCATGGGGATTCCCCTCCTGATGACCTTATTTTACAACGCCGTATACCACCATAATCAGATTAGGTTTTCACTCTGTGAGTCCCATCACAACCAAATCAACACGTGAAGTTTTGAGGGACATTTAAAACTATAGCATTCTGCCCCTGGCCCCTAGCTTATTTTTCTATACAGAATCATCCCACTATTCCAGAGTCTTAGTGTCTTTTCATCCAAAGTCAGAAATTCAATCAGAAATCATTTTTAATTTAGTTTCTAATGGATAAAATTAATGAAAATAGAAACATTATCAGAAGTTTCAAATTTTGGCATTATAAAGTATATAATAATATATTTTTTAAACAGTTATTTTATTTATACATTTAATTTGACCAGAGAGGAACAGAGAGAGAGAGAGCCAAAGTGAGAAGCAAGCCACCAGGTCCAGGATTTGAACCGCTGTTGGCCATGTGGGAGTCTAGCACCTTAACCCCCATGCCACCTGCCAGCCCATCTAGTTAATTTTTTAAAAACTAATAATTATTTATCATTAGATCATAAGGAAAGTCATGACATATTTTTCTATACAAAAATGCATCATGACTTTCCATATGACCCAGTATTTTTTAATTTGCAACAGGACTTGTGTTGTCACCAGAGAGAGTCAGAGACAAAGTCAGAGAGGGGGGAAAGAGAGGGAATGTGAGAAAGTAAGCTACTCCCACTGTCAGCCATGTGGGAGTCCAGCGCCTTAACCACCGGCCACCTGCTGGCCCCTGGCTAGTTAATTATTAAGTTTTCATTAACAGAGTTACATACCATTTAACAGAAAGATCTGAAATAATCTGTTTCAAAGATAGCATGAGAAATTCTCTTCTAATTTTCTAAATAGTATTTAAGGAATTTCACTTTGCATTTAAGTGATGGAAATGATTTTAACAAGTCCATCTAATTATGCCAGCAATTAATGTAATTCAGTGATATGTATGTGACTGTGAATGTACTATAATAGTAAATGAATGTGGATAGTCTAGGTGAGATCACTGTTGCTTAATAGTGTTTTTAAAAGTCATTCTAACCAGACTGATTAGTTGAAAAAGAACCAAGTGGGCCAGCTGGTGGCAGGGTGGTTAAGGTGGCTGAATCCCATGTAGCTAACTGTGTGGTTTGAGTCATGGATCTGTCAACTTGAGAAACATTCCAGGGGTGTGCATGTGTGCCCAAAATCCCCAGGAGTGGAAGAGAAGGGATTCATTCACTCCCTAGGGAGTGCTCGCTTGCTCGCTCTTTCTGTTGAATTCATGTGCTATATATCAAAATTTACAAAAAAGACAGAGTCAGGATCTGACTTTTAAGGAAATTTGTATTATAAATACTTGTTTTGGAATTTTAGTTCTTAAAGTATACTATGGACCTTTGGTTTTTGCTTTCTGTTTGCCAAAGACATGCAGTTCTTCATGTGTGCTTTTCTTTTTTTTTAATTATAGGAATATGCAAGAAAAGCTCTTGATTTTCTCTGGGAAAAAAGACAACGAAGTAGTAATTTAGTGGGTGTGACTATCAATATTCATACTGGAGACTGGGTACGAAAAGGTATGTAAGTTGGGCTCTTTCATTCAAGCCTTCACAGGCTCAGAGAGGTTAGGAAATAAAAAGCTTTTCGTTTGTTAAAATAATCTTTAGGATGTATAAAGCATAGTTCCTTACAAGGTTGCTGGAATTTTAATTAATGTATCTAGATCTTTTTTGGTGCCAAATATACTGACTCTAAATGATTTTATTTTATTTTCTTTCATACCTTTATGTGTATAGCATTATAGGTAAATGGTGTAGATGAAATACTAGAATTAATATCTTTGAGGACTATAGACTCACAGTACCTCAGCCACCTCACATCAAGGAGTAGTGCAGGGGAAATCTGCATTTTATGACAGTGATGTTAGTCCTTACGTTTTTTCCCTACTTCCGGAAATGAGAGTATAGCGTAGTAGCCGAGAACATTTGCTCCAGAGCCATATTGCTGGGATTAAGCTGCACAGTCTTGGGCAAGTTCCTTAAACCTGCGCCTCTCTAGTCATATCTATAAAATGAGGATGTTAATAGTACTTTGTAGAACTATTACAGGATTGAATTAATTGACCATCATAAAGCACTCCCAACACTGCCTGGCATGTGCTATGCTTACTTTGAAGTAAGTATTCACTAACGTATGTTAGTCCCCTCTATTAATAATACTACCTCTGGAAATCTAACCTGAGGAAATAATACAAAAAATAGAAAATTGTTTGTTCTCAGAACGTTCATCACGTAATTATTTATAATAGTGGAATACTGGAAAGTAGTCTCAGTGAATCGCAATAAAAAATAGCTAAGAAAATTAGTTTACTTCAGTGTTGGAATATTAAGTTCTTACAGTGAATCAGAAGCCTGGGAAGAAATATAACAATGTTACATGAACAAATAGGGTATAGGACTGTGTAAAGGATACGGTTTTTTATCTCTATAAAACAAGCATTGAAGAATGGAAATATACTAGAATGTTCCTAGTGAGATGATCTTTTTTGCACAGTTTCCAAGGTGATGGAGCGGGCAGAGGCTGGGCGTTTCTCTGCCCTCTCCTGGAGCGGGCAGAGGCTGGGCGTTTCTCTGCCCTCTCCTTGTGGCCACCTGAGTCCCGCGCTGTACTCCTGTACTCTCTTCCGGATACTCTGGTGAAGTGCAGTTGTTTTGGTCCTTTTCTGTGGGGGCTCCGATTATTCTGCACCTCTAGTCAGCCATCTTGCTGATGTCAGTCATATATTCTGTTTTCCAAAGAGCTTATCTTGTTGATATGTAAAATAAAAAATAGCTGCCTATATTTAAATAAAGCATATATATTTCTTAATTTAAACACAATGAAATTATTGCCTCAATTCAGTAGTGTATAACATTTTTCTAACTTTTATCTAAATAGTTCCTGAAACAGATCAGAATCCTGGCTTCTGAATTCTGTCATTTCCTTTCTTGTTCTTTTTTAACCTTCTTTAGACCCCAGGTGCAAATCATTTGCAACTTTGAGTTAATCATAATCCTTGATTATGGCACAGCCCTCTCATCACTGGTTCACGCATTTCCCATTTTACTTAGTCAGTCATTTTCAGTAATGGAAGGAGCACCCACACACGGCCCTTCCATCACAACAGCAATGTACGTGGGAGTGCTCGAGTCCCCTCCTTTGGGATTCCACACCTCTGCCTTCTCCCTGCTGAAGTAGCAGGCATTCTTATCTTGATCATTCCCTTGCTATCCATTTAGTAAAGTTTATTTTTTTTATTTTGCAGTTTCTTTTTAATTTTTATTATCATCATAATCTTGTTTATATTACATTGGATTACACATAACTTTACAGTGTATTACATTGCTTTTTCAAAAGGGAATGCCATGCATGTCAGCCAATACAGAGACATTAATCTCCCTGCTTCAACATTCAATATCTTTTCTATGATTTTCCCAATTATTATTACTATTATTCTAATTTTTTTTTTCAATTTATTTACTTGCATTCACTCACTGTACATTATTACAACATACAAAATGAGATTTTCCATCCAGAGTATACTGTATATTGTCTCAATCAAGCACATCAACAAACATGTTATTCTTAGCAAATGATCTTCCATTTCTTGTTTTCTGTATGTTTTGCTTTTTCCCCCCCCCATCCTTGGTTCCCTATCTCTTACCCTCTGCCACCTCCTGCTCTCCTCCCACACTGTCTCTGGTATCTATGTTTGCTTTCTATACCGTTTTCCCCCCACATTTTATTGAATTACCAAAGACCCTAATCAATCCAAATACCCTCATGGCAAACACAGGTGACACACACATTTCCATGAGCACAAGTCTAACTTTACGCATCCTATAAAGTAGCACCTAACTGGGGCTACATATCCTACTGCAGTCATTGAATAGATATGTAACTCAATTTACATTCCTTCCCTAAGCATCATCACAGCACACAAAATGCGATCTCCCATCCAGTACACACTGCATAGTGACTCAATCATGCACATTACAAAAAA